TTTAAAAATGTTTATTTATTTTTGAGAGAGAAAGACAAAGCGCAAGCAGGGGAGGGGCAGAGAGAGAGGGAGACAGAATCTGAAGCAGGTTCCAAGCTCTGAGCTGTCAGCACAGAGCCCGACGCGGGGCTCAAACTCACAGACTGTGAGATCATGACCTGAGGTGAAGTCGGATGCTCAACCGACTGAGCCACCCAGGTGCTCCGAGTTTGGCTTTTTTAGATTCCACATATAAGTGGTATCATATAGTATTTGTCTCTCTGTCTGACCAATCACACCTACATAATGCTGTCTAGTTCCATCAGGCTGTTGCAAATGGTATGATCTCCTTCTCTCTCATGGCTGAGTAATATTTCATTGTGGCGTGTGTGTGTATGTGTGTGTGTGTGTGTGTGTGTGTATGTGTACAGCTTTTGGACGTAGAGATAAGGGAACCCTTGTGTACTGTTGGTGGGAATGTTAATTGGTACCGGTAACTTTTTCCAACTGTGGAAAACAGTATGGAGATTCCTCAGAAAATTAAAACTGGAACTACCCTATGTACAGTAATTCCACTTTCGGGTATATATTCAAAGGAGATGAAAATAGGATCTCAAAGAGATGTCTGCACCCTCATGTTATTGCAGCATTATTATTGCACCCGAGACACAGAAACAATCTCATTCTCCATCAACAGATGACTGGATTACAAAGTTGTGGTGTATATATACACCAGTGATCTTGTTAAATGCAATTCTGCTTCATCAGTTTCCTCTGGGGCCTGAGACTCTGCATTTCTTTTTTTGTTTGTTTTTGTTGTTTTATTTATTTTTTAAAAGTTTTTAAAAGTAATCTCTATGTGCAAGGTGGGGTTTGAACTCACGACCTCCCAGATCAAGAGCTGCGTGCTCTCTAGACTGAGGCAGCCGGGCACCCCTGAGACTCTGCATTTCTGCCAGGCTCCCTGGTGATCCAGTCTTAGCCTGTGCTTTGAGCCCAAGGGACGAACGTAAGCTCAGAGCTCCCTCCAGGCCTAGTGATTCCTATTTTCGTTCATTCCTATTTTCGTGCAGTTTTCTGTGACGGTGCCCACACCCCTGAGAACATCGACTCCAGCCGGAAGAGACCGATGCTGTGAAGACCTGCGGCTCCGGATCTCTGCGGGGTACTGTGGAGTGGAGGGCTCGATATTTATGGCAACCTCCCCCCCCACCCCCCAGCCCCATCACCTGCAGGTCTGTGCGTTCTGATTTATAGAAGAAAATGGTACTGTCGGTGATGAGCCTGTGTGGTTTGAAAGTTGTGTCACCTCCTTGCGCTGCCAGGCGCCCCCTGGAGCAGGGCTGGCCGTGTGGATTCATAGCCCTTCACCCCGGGGGGGGGGGGGGGACTCTGAGGAACCCGAGGACCCTCCCGTCCCTCCCTCCACCCTCTCTTTGCCTCTGCAGCTGAGGCAGCATCTAAAATCCCAGCCACAGCCTCGTTTCGCTGGGCCTTGATAGCTTTGGGGACCCTAAGGAGCTTCTGTTAAAATGAAAATTTCTCAGCAAGGAAAGATTCTTTAATATTTGCCAGAAGTCACTTTATTGCATTCCTTTGGTGGAATTCCAGAGGGCTACTGGCTTTTGCAGATGGGGAAACTGAGGCCTAGAGAGAGAGAAGGACTAGCCACACTGTGAGTTCATCACTGAACCCAGATTTCTGGCCAGCCGATGGCTCTGATTCTTGGGGGTAAGCCTGTCGAGGCAGGCAGGCCCAGATCGTACTTTGAAAATCATAACATGGTGGCTTTGAGTCACAAGGAGGTGGATGCAAATCCTAGATCATCAAAAAAAAAAAAAAAAAAAAAAAAGGAATAAGTATTGAGCATCAGCTGTCTGGCAGGTATTTAGGAGTAAAGCTGTGGCAAGCCAGATATAGTCCTTACAGCACAGCGAGAGTCCTGGGCTTGTTAATCTTTACAGCTTACTTTGATTTCTTAAAATTTTTAAAAAATGTTTATTTTTGAGAGAGAGATAGAGAGAGAGAGAGACAGAGAGAGAGACAGAGAGCGAGCAGGGGAGGGGCAGAGAGAAAAGGAGATACAGAGTCTGAAGCAGGCTCCAGGCTCTGCAGCTCAGAGCCTGACTCGGGACTCGAACTCACAGACCATGAGATCATGACCTGAGCTGAAGTCGGACACTTAACTGACTGAGCCACCCAGGCGCCCCTCAGGTTACTTTGATTTCTATGCATCAGGTCCTGTACCACATCTATGTTTGATTCTCATAACGACTCGGTGAGGTAGGGACTCCTGTGTCCTCATTTTGCAGGTGAAATGGCTGAAGGCCGGCCAATTGCCCAAGGTCACACAGCTGGTAGATGGTGGAACGGGGACTTGAAACCACTGTTGTCTGGGACCGTAGCTCATGCTGTAAACCTCCGTGCTGTGAGCTTGCTAATTGTATCACTGATTCCTACCAACAATCTCACGCCGAAGAGGAGGGCAAGGTTTCATTGCTACTTTTCAGAGAAGGACCAGAGAGGTTAAGTAACATTTGGAAAGCTGTGCAGCCCACGAGGGGCTGGGTTGATGTTTGAAACCAGGCTCTGAGCTCAGTGACCTTGGGTGGACCACGTAGCCTATCTAAACCTCAGACTCCCTCCACCCTCCTCCCGGCTGTCTACCTTTGGATGTGGCCACGAGGATTAAAGCGTGAGGACATGGGCTCAAGTCAGGGCCACCCGTGGCCACCAACAGGATGTGGCAAATGGCGAACATAGTGGTTAGTTTCCCTGGAACCGCCTCCCATTCTCTCCCCCAGTCGGGTACCCCTCTTTCATATTTAACAAGTCAGCTTTCCAAAAGGAATCCCCAAAGGCAGTGCTTAGCCCGGAAGGGAAGCGGCTTGAACGGTGAGCTTTCAGGCAGGCTGGAGCGGCGATTTTTTTTGATGGCTTTGTTGATGTGTGTTTCACACACCGTGACATTTGCCATTCAAGCGGACGGTTCAGCAGTTTGTAGCGTGTTCAAATAGTTGTTCAGCCATCACCACTAGCTAATTTTAGAACATTTTCAACAGCCCCCAAAGAAACCCCATGCACTTTGGCAATTATTTGGAGCAGCAATGCTTAGCCTGGAGGGAGACGCTGATGAAATAAGGGGTTTTGTTGGCAGCGCGCAGATCATTTGGAGCGTGGTGGGGAGTAGCCTTCAGATCACACCTCATACAACTGCCTATTTCTGCCATTCGAGAGCTGTCCGTGGGGCACCAGTCTTTAGGTCCAAGAAATAATTGCAGTTTTTTTCTGTAGAGAGTGGGGTAGGGGCTGCCCGGATGTCAGAAAGCAGAGGGTCAGTGTGTGTGTGGGGGTAACTATCCCGAGAGGTGGTGGGAGAGGACGTGAGGGTGGGGGAAGGCAGGCTCCCCGTCCTCAGCAGCTGTGCTCCCCACCCCAGCCAGGCGGCTCTTCTGGAAAGTGATTTGAATTGTGTTGCTCTCCTGCTCAAATTCTCCTATGACTTCCCTTATTTTCTTGGAAGGCAGTCCAGAGTCCTGTAGTCTGAAGGCCTCCAGCTTCCTTCTGTGCTGCTTCCACGCTTGCTCTTCCTTCCAGCCTCACAGGCTGCTTTTCTGTTCCTAGTCTGCCTCATGGCAAATACAAAAAGGTGGGCCCTCTTGGTGGACAAATTAGAGAAAGGATTTTGTTCTCTCAGTCTGGTGCCTTTTTATAGTACACAACGTATGCAACTGAACACGGAAGTCCTGCTTTATATATGCCAAGCCCCTAACAAGGCAAGGTTTTGACAGTGTGGGCTCCAAGGACAGATGGTGGGGAACCCCAGCCCTGCCACTTTCCAGCTGTGTGATTCAGGGAGGGTGACTCAGTCTAAGAGGACTGAGTGATTCCCAGTCTAAAAGGACTGAGTGATTCCCACCTTGGGGGATGGAAAGTGCCTTGAGGATTAAATGAAATCACTGGTGTGCTGTGTTTGATCGGTGTCCCTCCCTTCCCCTGTGCAGCCCCAGAATCTCCACCTCCATGTAACGGCGAATCAATGATGTTAGCAGAGCATATGTGTTTTTCTTTAAAAACAAAAAATGTTTAAAGGCCTTTCATCTGCTTCTCCTCGCTACCAATGCCCCTCTCCATTTTTATGAAACAACATGGATGTCTGAGTGTTAACAGACTTCTAATTTGTGCCCACCCGCTTTCACTCTTGCCCCTCCAAATGCTTTCAAGAGTCACAACAAAACATTTAAAAAACTAAATCTGGTCATGTCATCCCACCCCCTACCACCCGCTGCAAACTCCTCACCCTTCTGGTCTCAGACCAGATGTCAACAGTGGAAGAGCCTTCCAGGACCGCCAGGTCAACGCTAGCAGGATCCGGCTAAGGGCCCGAGATGGCCACCGCTGGTACACCACAACGGGAAATGGCCCAGAGCCCCCGAGGAAACTCACCAAGGGCCCCAGGGGAGTCTGGGCTGGTGGTCTGGTTTCTGTGCCAGCCCTCAAAGTCACGGGCAAGAGCTATTGCAGCTAAGGATGTGACTAACGCGTCTAACTGCATCTGTGCCCTGGCCCAGTGTTCTGCTTTGGGCTCAACGGCTGGGCAGAAGAGCTTGGGAAAAGGGAGCCACGTCACAGCCCAAATGTGGGGCAAGGAAACAGACTGTGCAGGATGGCTGTTCCACAGCGACCCCGTGTGGCAACGACAGAAACAACAGCCCAGTGGATGGATCCACTCCAGAGACCCTCTCGCCTGGCCTTCGCTCCCTCTGGACTAAGGAAACCCCAAATACTCTTTGGAAGTGTGGAATGAGGGATATCCTCAAAAAGGGACAAGGAGACTTTCTGCTGAGAAGGGCATGTGGGGGCTGTGCTGTGAATTGGCGCTGCAGAGCATTCTGGGTACAAAAGAACAAAAGAATGGATATAAAACAAGAAACAATGCCATCGCATGGAATTCCACCGAAAAAGCAGTGTTTTTTGCGGGGGTGGGGGGCGGGGTGAGGTAAGGAGTGAAGCACAAAGAGAAATAGTGTGGCAACAACTGGAAAGCAATCCTTGGAGGAAATCTCTGGGCAGGCTTAGCCCTTGAAGGACACTCATAATCCCTGAACTGCACATTGCACACTTTCTCAAGGAACAAAGTTTCTGTATTGAGATCATTTCTGAATCTGAGTTTGGAGAAATTTGCAAGGGGTTCTGGTTCAAGGACTGGAGAAAGGCAGCCTCTGCCCCTCAGGCACGTCGGGAGCAGGTGCGGACAACCTCTCACCTCCTGGCGTGGCTGACAGCCCCCAGCACCTCCAGCGACTTCAGCTGTAGAGAACATCTGCACCCAACAGCAGGAAATTCTAGGGAGAGGGGAGAACGGAGTCATCAGCGGGAAGTGCACCCTGGTTTGTGAGCGTGGGGCTGCTAGGGTTTGTGAGGGAAACTTTGGGAGAGCAGAGCGGGGCCTGTCTGCTGGCGGGAAGTGAGTAGAGGACACTTGGTGTTTGCCGCTGGGGTCTGTGCGTCAACGGCTGCCGCACCGTGAACCTGTCAGCAGCCTCTCTGACAGCTGTTCCCCTCCCAGAGGCAGGGGGGCCGCGGTGGAGGCCTTCATTTGTCATCCCTGCCTCATGGCCGCACAAGGGAGCCTCCTTTCCATCAAGGCTGCGAAGCCACTTTTCTTTGCTCCTTCGTGCCCTTCGCTCAGAATTTTCAGAAATGAAGAAATTACAGCATACCATGGAGTCACTTTGTTTTAAAAGGATGAACTTGGTAAAACGTGGGGAACACGGTGGGGATGTGCGTCCTCTGCTCTCTTGGAGGCTGTTCTACAGTCTGGGCCCTGTCAGTAGCCTGGTCTGGAGAACTGGGGCCTGGGGTGAGGGAGGGTGGGAATCCGGTGATGTGGCCTGTTCCCACGGGGCCTTCTCAGGAGAGGCACTGAGCAGGGTGAGGAATGCAAGGAATGCAATCACGGCCACTCTCTCATTACTGAGGGAGCGGACAGGCTGGGCCTAAGGGGCCTCTGGGTGGGGACACGGGGGGGGGGAGCCCGCAAATGCACAAGTTGGGAGCATAGAAGAAACTGAGAGCGTGTCTGGGTCACTGGGTGGCACAAAGGTGGCTGCTAGCTTGCGTTGAGGAAAGTGGGCAGGGAAGGCCTACAGTGGGGGAGGTCAGAGGCCTGGGCAGGAGAATTCCTGGAGAATTCTGGAGAATTCCTGCTGGAAGGGCGAGGGAGGGGAGGGAGGAGAGGGGAGGGAGGAAGGGGAGGAAGGTGAATGGAGGAAGGGGAGGGAGAGGGAGGGGAAGGTGAATGAGAAGGGAGGGAGGGGAGAGGAGGGAAGGTGAAGGGAGGGAGGGGAGAGGAGGGGAGAGAGGAAGGAAGGGAGGGGAGAGGAGGGAAGGGGAGGGAGAAGAAGCCAGTGAAGAAGACAGCACCGACGGGGTGGGAGGCAGGTGGGAAGTCGGGAGAGCCAGAAGAAAGCATCCCTAAATAGTCTCAGATGCCATTGTGGGTCTGGCTGGGGGACAGGCAAAAGGAGATCCCCATTCTGGGACGAAGTCCCCCCTTGGCACCTCACTTGTATTACCACCACCCCCTCCCCTCCCCCAGGCCTAGAATGTCGCCAGGCCGTCAAGAGAGTCATGCAATACCTATTTGCCAAGTATTTAAATATTTTCACTTATAAAAGAGGCTCTGTGGCCACCAAGCCAGCTCCGTTTTTACCGGACATAGTGTGGGAACCTTCAGATCCAATGGTTCAAAGGCGGGGGGTGGGGGGGGGCTGGCTTTGAATTTGAACTTCATTTAATAGCTATGTGGCCTTTCTGAGCCTTACTCTGCCCTGCGTGTGAACCATTACCCACCTGGCCGGGTGTTGTAAGGGTAGAGTGCTTGCTACGGGGCTTGCGTACAGAGAGCTTTCCGGCAACACGTTGCTGGTGTTGAGGGACACTTGGCGAAAGGAGACCTTGGGACCTACCTGGTGAGACTGAAGCACCAGATTGTAGGCCTGGACGTTGGCGGGCATCGGGAGGGGGAAGCCTTCTTGCAGCCGCTCTGCAGTGGAGGAGAAAGTGAGCACCAGGGGAGGGGAGGGTGCCAGCCCCACAGCACCAGGTGGGCAGCCGCCCTGAGCCAGCGTGCCCGGCTCTGGGTAAGGTGGGCGTGTACTTGCAGCCTTGACCTTGACGAGTAGGTGGCCCCGGAGACTCCCACTCTTCACCACGCTCCAGGGACCCAGGAGCCTTGCCCACAGCCCACAGCCAGCCCCAAGCCCACAGTCAGGATGGGTGCAGACCTCTTCCCCGAGACCCCCTGCTGAGGGTGACGGCAGTGCTGGTGTACGTGGCCATGGCCAGGGGCGGCTGTGCGTATCTCCCGGTGTGCACACGGAGCCCCTCAATGTTTTGGATAAAACTAGAGGTGGGTGGTAGCCAGGGACCCCTCCCCCCATAGCACCCTCTTCTGCTGTGAGACTCTGGAGAATTCTAAACTCAAACCTGGCTTCCCAGATCATTAGGAAGCTACATCTGTCAAGGCAGGAGAAGTCGTAGTCTCTATAATAACTTTGGTCTTAGTTGCCAATTTCTACCTCTTCTAGTCACGTGATATGTGGTCCTGTACTGCTCTCTTGCCCCTGGCTCTGCAAAGGTTAGGCCTTTGTCAGTGTGATTAGCACAAGGTGTTAGCTGAGGTTAGCCCTTCTTCCCTGGCGCTTCTTCCAGAGCGGGGAGAGAGGCTGAGGGCTCTGGCTTCAGAGCTGGTGTCAGATCTGGCTGCATTTCTCGCCTTCCCCCGTGACCTACAACAAGCCACCTGTGTCTTCTCTGTGTCTTCCATTTCCTCCCACAAAAACTGGAGAGATTACTAATCTGCATGTCCTAGGGCTGTCTTAAAGATCGGATGACACAGTGGGTGGGCACACGCGGGGGTCCCCTTTTGTCCATCCCCTTTTCTGGTTCATTTGAGTGACCACCCTCTGGCCTCCATGACTGGGGCTGGGTGTTAGGTGGCTCTGGGACTTAACTCCCTCCGCCTCCCCCAGGACTGAAAGTCAATCGTTTCTCCAAAGCTCCTTACCATTAGCCTTGGGGATCACAGCAATGGGCACAACATAGTTCATGACAGCCTGCAGCACTTCAACCTGGAAGTCAGAAGGAAGGGACCCATATCAGGACACCTCGGCCTCAACCTCCCTCCCTGGCAGGGCAACTCAGAGCTGGGAAAACTGCTCAGCGAGGGACCTGGGTGACGCCAGGAAGATCCTGCAGCCCAGTCAGGTCACCCTAGTGCATCCAAAGGTTCCAGATGTGACGCATGTTCTAGATGTAAGGTACCAGGCCGAGGAAAGGAAGGTCATCAGGGAGTATTTAAACATGAGGACCGTTGTGTAAGAAAACGCATGGGCTCAGACACTGCCGGCTACAGGGTGAACTGGTTCAACCTTTCTGAGGCTCTATTTCGCAATGTTTAGCAAAAGCCTTAAAAATGCGTGTGCCTGGGGCGCCTGGGTGGCTTAGTCGGTTAAGCGTCCGACTTTCGCTTAGGTCATGATCTCGCAGTTCGTGGGTTCGAGCCCCGCGTGGGGCTCTGTGCTGACTGCCAGCTCAGAGCCTGGAGCCTGTTTCAGTCTGTGACTCCCTCTCTCTCTGACCCTCCCCTGCTCACGCTGTCTCTCTCTCTCTCTCTCTCTCTCTCTCTCTCTCCTAGAAATAAAAAAAAAAAAAAATGTGTGTGCCTGCCTGCGTGGCTCAGTCGGTTGAGTGTCTGACTTCGGCTCAGGGCATGATCTCACAGTTCATGAGTTCGAGCTCCGCATCAGCCTCGCTGCTGTCAGTGCAGAGCCCACTTAGGATCTTCTGTCCACCCACACCCCCCGCCCCTTCCTTGCTTGTGTGCTCTCTCACTCTCTCTCAAAAATAATTAAATCTTAAAAAAAAAAAAGCGTGTGCCTGGTGGACCAGCAAATATGCCTGTAAGGTGTCTAGCCTAGGAAATGATGTAGGGCGTAGGCAAAAATTAAGATGCATGGATGCTCACCAGAGCCATAAATTTAACCAAAACAATAAATAAGCAGCAATCTACATGTCTAACAATTGGGGAATTATCTAGGGGACACAGGGGTGCTTTGATTCTAGGAAATACAATGCAACTGTTAAGAATAATATTGTGGAAATTTAATTATCCACACAGATATTCATGATTTATTTTTGAGTGAGGAAAAGCAGGATATGGAAACCACATAATTCTGTTGTATTAGTGGCTATGCATAGCAAAAGGTCAGGAAAGATATACCCCAAATGATTAACTAAGTGGTAAAAATAGGAATGGCTTTCACTCTCCTTGGTTTGCATACCTATAGGTTCTGATTATTCTATAGTGTATATGTTTTGCCCTTGCGATAGTAAAAAAAAAAAAATATTCCAAGAGAATATAGCACCCTCAAGATGATTGCCTGGTGACATTTACAACTTATAAATATGTACATTTTTGTTTGGGAAACAATTGAGTTTTCTTCTCCAGGCTGTAAATCCCTGGGCTCGTAAGATGTGGTGCCCTTCTTCCCATGAATCTGAGAACTTTAAATTTTGATTTGATGCAGAAGCAGAAGTTAGTTACTGATGGAGTCAAGCCACTGTAAGAGCCCCGGCACCAGTAAGTCCATGAAAATACAGTGAGCACACTTTGGGTCCTTCTGTTGGTTGCAGTCTTTTGGATGGAAATGGCTGGCTGGATTTACATCCAATGGGGAGGAAATGTTGGGATGGTCCAATTTCAGGGCCTGGTGGCTTACAAGGCACCCGCTTGGTGAGGATCTTGGGAAGCATTTCAGAGATCTAAGAAAATGTCCTCCAGGGGTTCAGCTGGAGGTCCCCTGGGAGATTTGGGCCATGTGTAGGACAGAGTCAGCCTGCTGTGGCTTCTGATGGAAGTCACACGCTGGGCTGCTGTTTACGTGGGCAACTCCAGTATCCCAGGGGGAGTTAGAGGGGAGGCAGGGGGGAGTCTCCTTAACGATGGTCAGTGATTTCAGGTCATGGAATCATCTACTGGGCTGGCGAGATACCTACTGAATTCCCTCCCACCTGCCCGTCTCCACCTTCACATGATTCTGCATTCACCCAGCTACTCAAGCCAAAAAACTAGGAATCACATTCTTCATCACCCTCTCCACACACATCACAGTTCTCACCAAGTTGCATCGAATTCCACCTCCAAAGTATGGCTCCAATCCATTTTTTCCCTTCTTCATAGACAAATGCACCTATCTCTCTGCTGATCCACATAGTCTGACTCTTGTCCCCCCACATCCATTCCCCCCATCCCAACCAGGGGCATCTTTTATAAAGGCATCAATCAGATCACATCACCCTGCGTATGGAACAATTCGTCGGCTTCTCACTGCCCTTCGAACACAGTCGACTCCAGGCTGGAAGGCCCAGGATGAGCTAACCCCTGCCTGCCTCTCCAGCCCCATCTTGTCCTACACCCCCACCCCCAACTTGCTCTGCTCCAGCCACATGGGCTTCCTTCCATTCCCGAAACACGTGGAACTTGTTCTCACCACAGGGCCTTGACACCTGCTGTTTCCTCTGCCTGCAACAGCTCTTTACTGTGCTGGCTCTTTCAGCCCAAATATCACCTCCTCGGAGAGACTTTCACTGATCACAAGGTCTAACCTTCAGCCCTCCGCATGACTTGCTACCCCGCCCTCATTTTGTTTTTCACGCCAGTGGAAAGGATTGTCTCTGATTTGGGGGGAGGTTGGAAGTTCAGGGAGGGAAAGGGACTTGCCCAAGGCCCATGGTTGGTAAGTGTGGAGCAGTGATTGGAACTTAGGTCTGTGGGCCCACAAAGCTCCACCCACCATTACTTTACATGCAAAGTATATGCAAATGAATAGGTGGCCTCCAGACGTGATGCCATGAGCCTCAGTGGCCCTCAGGACAGTTATCTGAAAATCAAGGGGAAGGAAGGAGCCACCAAGGGCCTCAGACTCACCGAGAAGGGGCCGATGTCCGAGTGCTTCAGTTCTAGGAGCAGCCTGTGGGAAGGGGAGGAAGCTGAGACCACCATTTGCCTGATGTGTGTTAGAGTCTGGTTGCTGGGGAGAAGGGGCCCTCTCTGGTGGATCCATTCCCCTTCCTCTGGTCACAACCCCTTAGTTGTTTCTTTGGGGTACATTTAGGGTACCCTACATTGTTATCCCTGAGCTCCAGGGTAGGCTGGCAAAGGGGCAAGAATCCACCTTCCCTACCATGGTGATTTCTGGAAGGGTGCACCCGTGACCCATGTTGGTCCAATGAGAGTTGGCCCTAGGACTTCTCCTGCAACTATTGGGAATGAGGTGTTTTCTTTTCTCCAGGAGAAGTAGGGAGCTCCTGGGGACCATTTTTGGTCACCACTTGGTGACAGCCTGCTGTGAAATGAAGCGAGCATAGGGGATAGCAGAACCAAGAAACGGAGAGAGTCAGAATCCGAAGGATAGCATGGGAGCACCTCGATCCACTCTTGCCTGAAATCCTGAGCCTCTTCAACTACCTGAGCCAATAAACTATCCTCTCTTTACAGTCTTTATGACATTTTAACAGTGATCAAAGAGAAAGGGGGGAAATAAATGGCTACTTGTTGAACCTTTATCATTCACCGTGTTGTGTGCTGTACCCCAGGGAAATCATACAGCACCCCAAGAGGCAAGGACCATCAATACTCACATTTTACAGATAAAGGGTAGCTTGAAAACTCACCCTTGTTCACCAAGAGGTGGGAGCCCCAGAAGTCTTGCCCTGTGGACTCTCGCACCCCACCCCTGCGTATTTGAGAGTCTGCTCAGCCCTCATCCAGCTGTTTTCTCTCCCGCTCCCCTACTTGAGAGGCCCAGGGGTGTTAAAGGAAAATTAAATCCACATGTAGCTGAGGCAGTAGTAACACCTGTCAGAATGATGCCCGGAGAAATAAGCAGCATGTAAACCTCAGGAGCCAGTCTCAAGGTTAAGAAGGACAGCTCTGTGCTGGAGGGAGGGCGGAAGCAGGCGGGAATGTAGGTCAAGACTCAATCCAGGCAGCGTGTGCGTGATTAAGAGGCAGACAGCAGGTCTAGTGGTTGGGGTCATGCATCTGCTCTCGGAGGGTCTCCCGTTCTCCTGTGTGCCCTCTCTCTCTCTCTTCCCCTTCCGTGTCTCTCTGTCTCCCTCTTACCATGCCTCTCCATCCATCTGTCTGTCTCTCTTTCCCTCTGTCTTTCCCCTCCTCCCCCCTTTGTGAGTATCTCTCTCTGAGAGTCTCTCCGAGCTCTCTGTTTCTGACTTTCTCTGTCTTTCCGCTGTTGCTTCTTTCTCTTTCCTGTGTGTCCCTCTCTCTGTCTTGCTTACTGAGCGCTTAGGTTCCTGGTGTTGCCCAAACCTCAGCGCATCTTAATACCTGATTTCATCCTCACTATGGCGCTGTTGGCAAAGAACAACTATTGGGCCTTACTTATTTGTTTCTTTTAAATCCTTGGGCCTCTTTGGCAGTCAGGGCAGCAGGACTTTGGGGAGTTCAGTGTTTGCCAAGGCAAGCGGCCTCGCTCAACGCCAGGACCCACGCACCAAGCCCCAGCTGCCTCTCTTGGGCTTCTTCCGACACGAGGCGGCTGACAAGGGCCCAGGGATGCGGGAGGAAGAAACTGAAGTGGGATTTCCAAACGCTAAGGCGGGCCAGGGATGCGGGCAGCTGGGCACTGCCCTCGTTCAGCGCGGGGTGGCACCCCCCCGGTAGTGAGTCCTCCCAGGACTGAGGGGCGGCCCAGGCTGCCGTGCTAACGGTGGGGCTGCAGGCACACCAAGATGACCGGCCACCAATGAGGTATGACCTTGGGCGGGCCCCTTCACCTCTGAGCATCAATTTTACTGTCTGTAAAACAGGGCTCTTGGGCCAGCTGTGCACCGTTTGAGGCTTAAATGCAACAACACAGTGCTTGGTGTGCTGTAGGGCCCCTGCTGGCCCAGGGGCCCCTGAACGGATGGGCAGCCACCTCCCGCCGTCCCCTTTGGCCCACTTACTTGTTCAACCCGAGCTGTCCCACAAGCCTGTCAGGCTTGGCTCCAACCATCACAGAAATGTTCATGCTCTGCAAAGCAGCAAACCGAAGAGTGAGGTCCCTGAGCCAGAGGCCGAGGCCTTGGGGGGTCTCTAGGACCAGAGGGTCACCTTCACAAAGGCTTGGAGGATCCCACACAGAACCCAGGGGGGAGGGGCTCTTCCTTCCACTCTGTGCGTGTTGGTGGGTCCTGGACTGTCAACTATTTACCATCTTCTCCCGCTGCTCTGGGATTCTACTGCAGAGTTCCCAGGCCACTCTCACAGGCTGGGTGAGATGGACCTTGGGGCTGGAGTCCAGGCCAGCCCTACTGTTAACCCATTCATTCATTCATTCATTCATTCAACAAATATGGACTGAGCCAGAAAACCTGAGCTCCCCACCTCAGCCTTCCTGCCCCCTGTCTGCATGACTCCGGGTCGACCCCCCCCCCTCACCGCCCGGAGCCCATTTAATTGGCAAAAAAGGGAAATAGGTCTCAACTCGAAAGAGGGCAGGCCTGCCTGAGGCCTGTGAGCGCCCCCTGGTGGGGAGAAGGTCTGGCCTTCACCTCCATGGCCACAGTGGGTGCCCCCAAATGTTCATGGGGACACAGAGTGAGGATGAACTCGCAAATCAGCAATGGAACCAAAACTTGAAAAAGCAAGGGGTTACACACACAAATGAAGGAATCCACAAAGATAGGTGTAAATGAATAAATGATGAATGAACAAATATACACATGAATGATGAATTGAACAAAGGTATAAGTAAATGAATAAATGAATAATGGAATAAATTAATGCATGTATGGACCAGCACAGATCTAGTGTGTTTCAAGTTAGCAATCTAATGAATAATTAAATGAATGAACAAATACACAAATGCATCACTGAATGACCAAAGATATGACTGAATGAAACTGAATCAGTGTACATCTTTCAAGGCAGCGGCAGAATGAATGGTTGAGTGTGTGAATGCCTGCAAAAGCCAGAAACGGGTAGTACAGCGGCTCTGGCCCCAGGCCCTGGAGCGTCCGAATCTGGTCAGGATTCACCCTGGTCCCCCAACTCCAAGGGTAATGCCCTCGTCTGCCCAGACCTGTGAACAGCTTACCAGGCGAAGCACGAACAGGGGGGCCAAAGAGGAGTCCGGGAGGACAGCAAAGGCTTGGGCATCCAGGGTAGGGGTGAGGACGAGGCCGGCGGGGTTCATGGTGAGGTGTGGTGGGGAGGAGGCCCAGAAGACTAGCTGCACCTTCATGTTGGGGAACATCTTGGCCACCTGCAGCCCCCAATGGGGACAACCAACAAAGTGACCATTTTATTAAACTGTTTCTAAATTCTATCTCATTTTAGCCCTGCATAAACACCTCCAATGTGTTCACATTCCTTTTTTTTTTTAAGTTTATTTATTTATTTACTGAGAGAGAGAAAGAGAGAAAAGGAGAGAGAGAATCTCAAGCAGGCTCCACGCTCAGTGCAGAGCCCATCGTGGGTCTCGATCCCACGAGTCATGAGATCATGACCTGAGCCGAAATCAAGGGTCGACGCATAACTGACTGAGCCGCCCAGTGCGCCTTCCCATTGCTTTTTGCAAGACTGCACTCTCTGCACTTGGTGCCCACAACCTCACCCCACGGGCCTCTACTCCTCGCTCCTCTTGCTTTCCAACTCCAGGACTCCTTTCCATTCCTCAAATATATGACCCACTCCATTCCTGTCTAAAACCCCCTCTCTGTTTCTCTTGCTGAATGGTTATTACCCACCCCGTGTTCTTTCCCAGTTTGGCTCTTTTCCCTCCTTCCGGAATTAGCTCAGATGTCACAGAGCAGTGGTGGCCTCCTGGGGGAACTGAGGAGGGCTTTCTGACAACCTCCCCCACCCCCCCGCCCAGCCTCCAATCTTCCCCGAGGTAAACATACAGTCTCAGAAAGATCATGTGATTGTTTTGCCACAAAACTTCAGGAAGCATTCCCTGATCCCTCTACCAGTCATGCCTCCCCACCCCAGTAGCTCCTGTACAGAAATTTCTGGAAGTGCCACCACTGGAGAGGCTGTTATGGATTGAATGTTTGTGTCCCCCGAAACTCATGCACTAAAGCCCTAACCCCTGGGATGGCTGTAGCTGGCGATGAGGCCCTAAGGCGGTAATTCAGATTCAACAAGGCCAGAGGGTGGGGCCCTAAGCCAATAGGATTAGTGTCCTTATAGGAAGAGACAAACGGAGCTTGCCTGCTGTCTCTGTATCTGCTCAGAGGAAAGGCCTTGTGAGGGCACTGCAAGGAGGCAGCCATCTTGGAATTTGAAAGAGGCCCTCCCCCAAACCCAAATGTGCGGGTACCTTGATCTTAGACCTTTCAGCCTCCAGAACCATGAGCGATTTATTACTGTTGCGTAAGCCATCAGTCTGTGGCACTTTCTTATACAGCCTGAGCAGACGGAGACCGAAGGTTTGGTCTCAAGTGACCTCATCAGTCTTTTGGCTTCATTTCTCTTGGTGTGAGTTTTCTTAATTGTTTTGGGCACCTGAGTAAGAATCTTCTCTCTTCACTGGACTGGGGCTCCAGGGGAGCAGGGCAATGGGCTGCTTTGCTAGATGCCAAGAACAGGGCCCTGGGCACGTGGTGGGCCCTCAATAAATATTTGTTAGATAGAAAAGCCCGCAGTGTCTGGGACCCTCGCGTCTGGTCACCTGGGCACTCAGAGCCTTTCTCTGCATTGAGGGTGGGCTACACAAGGCTATTTCCACTCTTGGGCTGGGCTGCCTCTAGATCTGGAAAGCGGGGCTTTCATCAGGCCACTCAGCAGAGCTCAGTACTCCCTGGCACCCCCAGGATGCCTCGTGAGTGGACAGAAGGGCAGCTTTCTTACCTGGGGTATGAGGATTCCAAAAAAATCGGTCGTCAGTCGGAATTTGGATTTCTTTGGTATCTGTAGCAAGGAAAGAAGAGAAAAGGATCTTGTGGGATTATGTTATAGATTCGGGGGGGAGGGTTCCATGTGAAGGGTGAGAGACTGAATACACAAACACACAATGGCCAATCTGACCCCCAACTTCTGCAGCAATCAGCCTACAACAGTCAGGATATGGTCAGTGGCTGCCAACTTCCTTATATATATATATATATATATATATACATATATATATATATATTCCCCCCCGCCCCCAGAACACTCAGGTAAGCTCTCCAAATCAGTCACATAGGATGTCCAGCCTCTCTTAGCTCACCTCCAGCTTCCCCATGCCCCAAACCTTCAGAGAAGCACAGTTGTAAAGGTATAAAGCCAGCAGGCTCCCCTTCCTCTGCGTATGTTTGAGTATCTGCTAAATGCAGGTGCTGGTGGCTGACTCTCTTGCCCTGAAGAGTTCTCATTTGCGGGGCCAGGGGACACGGGAGGTTCAGCATCCCTTTGGTGCCCCGACAGAGAGCAGTATCAGGCACCTCTTCCAGAAGCAGCATAGGAGGAACCCCTCATGGCCAGTGACGTGGCTGCACCTGGACTCTGGAGAGGATGGTCATCTCCTCATTTTACAGATGGGAAAACTGAGGCCCGGAGCAGGACTCAGCCTTGAATATATCGATAGAGACACTGAGGTTGATGACAGTGGTGGTTTGAGGCTAAGGCTGGATTAGGGCAAGGGCTCAGGCGATGTTGGCTGTAACTTTCATCCTCATGCAGGACTTCTTATGTGCTAAGCCTGTGCCCAGTGCTGACAGAGCAGTCATATCTCAGTTCACCTTCTCACACCCTTTGGAGGAAGACACTTATCGGTGTTTTGCAAGCGAGGAAACTGGGGTTCTGAGAGATTGACCTACTGGTCTCAGGTCACCCAACAGAAAAGAGGGGGCTGATAGTCCAACTTGGGTCTGGCCGCCTCTAGAGGCTGGGCTGTGGTGTCCCCCAGTGTGAACACAAGTTCAAGTCCAGCCGACTTGCTGTGCTCTGAGCCCCGTGCTCTTCCAGCATCCACCCCCAGCCCGGCCTTACCATGTCGTCTGTGACGGTCAGGTTCAGGACCCCAGCCTGTTGGTACACGAGCCCCGCTGTGTTGAAGAAGTAGTCGGAGATGCCCAGGTACAGCATGCGGTCGTGGTCGTTGGGAAAGGCCAGTGGCGGAGGAGCGAAGGGAGGGGGGCTGTGCTGGCCGCACCTGAAAAACTCCCCCTGGGGGTGGAGGAATTGTAATTCAATGTCTTCATTCCAGGAGAAAATAGGCTGAGGATACCAGCACGCACTCCCAGAGGAGGAAGCCATGGCCAGAAACAAACTATAATGTCCTCTGCCTCCTGGGTGCTAGTTCCTAGGGCCTTTTCCTGTCAGTCCCGCGAGGTGCCTATGATTCTGCCCATTTTGCAGGATAGGACACTGAGGCCCAGGGAGGGGAAGAGCATTGCCCGAGGTCGCTCCTGCACCACTCCCAACCTCCCGATCCGACCCCTCGGCACACTCCCGACAGCTCCTTTGGCTCAGTTCCAACCTTGCCAACAAGCACGGAAGTTCTACCAGAACAACAGTGAGATTCTGTTTGTTTTCAGCTGTCAAATTAGGAAAATTTTAAGGAGAGAAGTAGACTGTTTTAAGTGTACGCGTATTTCAAACTCACACCATCCGGTTTTGGGTGAGAGTGTTCATAGGCTGCTAGGGAATGTATGTTTATGTTTCTGAAGAGCAGCTTGGCAACACACTGCAAAAGCAGATTATTTACTTAGCTAAAGAAAACACCGATGTTGAGTTATAAATGTAGATGGGCACATATGGTAAAATACCATTTATGTAAAATTTAGAGGCGTATAAAATATACTATGTAAGAATTATCGACATACAGATATGCAGTAAACGTATAAAAAACCGCAGGTAAGGAGGATACAAATGGGCATCTTATCCGTGTGATTCCCTGCAGGCTAGAGGTGCCCAATGTGTTTCATTTAAAAAAAAAATCAGAGGCAAATACAACAAAATGGTAACATTTCTTTTTTTTCTGTTAATTTTTTAAAATGTTTATTCATTCTTGAGAGAGAGAGAGAGAGAGAGAGAGAGAGGCAGAGTGTGAGCGGAGAAGGGGCAGATTGAGAGGGAGACACAGAATCTGAAGCAGATTCCAGGCTCTGAGCTGTCAGCACAGAGCCTGACGCAGGACTCGAACTTATGAACTGTGAGATGGTGACCTGAACTGAAGTCGGACGCTCAACCTACTGAGCCACCCAGATGTCCCTTAATGGTAACATTTCTTAAATCTGGGTGGTAGGTACGTGAGAGTGTGTAATGTTCTCTGTACCTCTGAATCATTTCATCATAAAAAATTAACCACTCTCTCACCTATCTTACAGACTACCATGCATCTCTTAAAATTAATAAATAAGTGAGGGACGCTTGGGTGGCTCAGTCGGTTAAGCATCCAACTCTTGATTTCGGGTCAGGCTGTGATCTCATGGTTTGTGAGTTTGAACCCCACATCAGGCTCTGCACTGACAGCATAGAGCCTGCTTGGGATTCTCTCTCTCTCTCTCTCTCTCTGCCCCTCCCATGCTCACATGCATGTGCGTGCTCTCACTCTCAAAATAAATAAAAATAAATAAATGAATAAGTCGACCCATGTGCCAATTCTAATGCAGATTATTAAGTGAGAAAAGCAAGTGAAAGCGTGATGTGTCTCCATTTATACAAACAGTTTACCAGCCAAACCAGACAGGCTTGCATTTATGTGAATGCTTTGAACCAGGGAGCCTGGAAATGAACACATAACATGCCCTGAGACTCATGGCCATGACCTCTGGGCAGGAGCCTGGGGGTCAGTAAACAGGTTATTCTCATCCTTTATTCCATTATACCACTTATATATTTTTTTTACTATTTGGTCCAGCAATGCCACTTCTAGGAGAGAGTCAAAGATGGGCAGAGACCCAGATACAAGGATGTTCATTCATGGCAGCTCTGCTTACAGTGTGCTCTTGGTTTTGGGGGCAGATTCCTGTGATTCCTCACTTCCATACAACACCCAGTGCTCTTCCCAACAAGTGCCCTCCTCCATGCCCATCACCCACTTTCCCCTCTTCCCCAACCCCATCCACCTTCAGTTTGTTCTCTGTATTTATGGTTTGCCTCCCTCTCTGTTTGAAACTATCTTCCCCCCTCCCTTCCCCCATGGTCTTCTGTTAAGTTTCTCACGTTCCACATATAAATGAAGACATATCTGTCTTTCTCTGACTGACCTATTTCACTTAGCATAATACCCTCTAGTTCCATCCATGTTGTTGCAAATGGCAGGATTTCATTCTTTCTCATTGCCGCGTAGTATTCACTGTTTATTTAAAACCACATCTTCTTTATCCATTCATCAGTTGATGGACATTTGAGCTCTTTCCATAATTTGGCTATTGTTGATAGCACTGCTGTAAATATTGGGGTGCATGTACCCCTATGAATCAGCACTCCTGTATCCTTTGGAAGAATTCCTAGCAGCGCTATTGCTGGGTCGTAGGGGAGTTCTATTTTTAATTTTTTGAGGAACCTCCGCACTGTTTTCCAGAGGGGCTGCACCAGTTTGCACTCCCACCAAGTACAATAGGGTTCCCATTTCTCCACATCCTCACCAGCATCTGTAGTTTCATGAGTTGTTAATTTTAGCCTCTGAGTTGTAATATTTGGGTAATCTCTCTCCCTCTCCTTCCTCCCTTCCTCCTTTCCTTCTTATTTATTTATTTCTCCGCTCCTCTGTAGTTTCTAAATTTTCTTTTTTATATCAAACATATTTTAGAACAAATAGGTAAACAGTAAACAAATAAGCCAATCACCAATCGTGGAAGGACTGAATGAAGTACAGCCAGAGGGATTCAAGGGTGGGACCCACTCCAGCCGGGTGGTCAGGGAAGGCTAATTGGGGAGTGACATGCAAACACAGACTCACCTGGAGTAGAAGAAGCCAGTGGGGTAGAGGGGGGCGTGTGAGAGAAGGCAGTTCAAGTGGAGGGGATGGGTAAGACAAAGTCCCTGAGGTGGGAACGAGTTTGGTGTGTTAAGGATGTGCAAGGCCTGTGTGCCTGGTTAGAGGGGGGTGAGTAGGGGGAAAGTAGTATGAAATGAAGCTCCATCTATCCACCATCCATCCATCTATCCACCCACCCATCCATCCATCTATCCATTTTTCCATCCATCCATCCATCCATCCATCCATCCATCCATCTATCCATCTATCCATCCATCCATCTATCCATTTACCATCCACCAATCCATCTATCCATCCATCCATCCATATATCCATCTATCCTTCATCTATCCACCATCTATCCATCCACCATCCATCCACCATCCATCCATCCATCCATCCATCCATCCATCCATCCATCCATCCATTTATCCACCCATCCATCTGTCTGAACAGAATATTTACTGAGCAGTTATTAGATACCAAGCATAGTCAGGAACAAAGCAGCCATATCCCCTCCTCCTTCATCATAGTGAGGGAAACAGATGTGTGACTGTGTGTGTGTGTGTGTGTGTGTGTGTGTGTGTGTGTTGGGGGCTTGTTAATAAGTGATGTTGAGAAAAACAAAGCAGGATATGGGGAGGGGGAGAAGGAGCTATTTCAGTGGGAGTGGCCTTTAGGGAGAGGGATATTTGAGTAAAGACTTGAAAAGAAGGAAGAGAGAGTTTGTGTGAATATCTGGGTAAGAGCATTCTGGGCAGAGAGGGAGCAGGTGCAAAGGCCCTGGAGAGCAAGCAGGCATAGAGTGGTTCAGGAATAGCAGGAGGGCAGCCAGTGTGACTGGAGCAGGGAGAAGATGCAGAGGTTAGGATGATGGGTAGCCCCAGGAGGGCCCGATGCAAAGGCGTGAGGGTATAACTTCCTCAGTGTAAGTCTCACCTTCAGCTGCCCATCCAGGTTGTCAGCCGTGGCTGTCGGAGGTGCCACCAGTGAGTAATCAATTCCAGCGACACGATCTATTCGGGTTTTCACTAGAGAGGAACAAGATGAGCCATGAGCTGGCTCCCCGTGGCAGCATCTTTAGGGCGAGACGCAGTGCTGGCATCTGCCAAAGTTGAACTGCAAAGAACTGCAGTGCAGGTTCCATTCCCACCTCCTCCAGGGAGCCCTCCCTGAGCTCCCTTTAAAGGAAAATGAACCCACACCCTACATAAACAGACATTATCTCTTTCCCTGCTTCCAAGCCCAGAGATGGAGCTAAAACATAGGGTCAAGAAACAGAGAGACTTGGGTTTGAATTGAACTCTTTCTGACCTTGGACAAGTGCTTTCATTCCTCCAAGCACTTTTTGTCATGTGTAGAGTGGGGCAGCACTGGTGACCCCACAGATGCCTTGGGCATGGGAGGGGCTCAAAAGCCAAAGGGACCATTACTCACAGTGATAATATCCCAGGTTGACCCCAGGTTTGTTCAGGTCTGAACAGTGTCTGTATTTCCCAGCAGTAATCAATGAGAATTGAATAAACCCGGGTCCCTCCATAAGCCCTTCCTTCCCACATTAGAGGGGAAGAAATGAAGCTCAGAAATGTAACTCTTCCAAGACGGCCCAGCTGGTGAGTGATGGAGCTGGGACTCAAACCAAAGTCACCTCCCTGCCATCTCCCTGCCTCAGACATCTCCAAGCTGTGGACGCTGCAATTGCCCCCAACAGGCCCAGGAAGGGCCCATCCCCGGAGGGGCCAGAGCAGGGCCTGGGGAAGCGAGTGCATCTTAAGTGGACTTGCACTGTAGCTGCCATGACTGCCCCACAGGGAGGGAGCCTGGTGAGCAATTTGGGGCATAACCTCTAGAGTAAGAAAACCCAAGTTTGGATTCTGCTTCTGCTTCTTTCCAGCTATGCGACCTTGGGCAAGTCACAGTTCCTTTCTGAGCCTCAATTTCCTTGTGGTAGAATTGGGAGGATACGCCAACCTCCGTGGGGTGCTGGGAGGCTGAGAGGAGACACTTCCCCTGGGTGCATGGCCATGGGGAGCACTCAGCCGGAGGGAGTCTGGCCCCCCAGCAACCGCAGCTCTTCACAGTTACTGGGAGATCTAAAGAATTGTCCCCATTTTAAAGATATGAAAACTGAGGCTCAGAGAGGTGAAATGACCAGTGTCAGAGCTCAGGGCAGCTGTGAGTGCCTGACCACGGAGAGCTGGGAGTGTTTGGTTGTTTGGCCCCCACACAGGCCCAATAGGGACCCGATGCCAACTGCCATTTGAAAATAATGTGTTCTACCCATTTCCACCCAGGCCCAAGCCCATCTGGGAACCTCCCAGCCTCCATCACACTCTCCATTCTCCTGGGCCCCTCCCCATTCTGTCCCAGCCTCCTTGACCTCACCCAGGCTCACCTGGCAGTGTCTTTAAGTAACCTTGCAGCTTGGAGGACACAGAATTGGTCACAACCTGGCAGATCTGGAGAGAACCAGAGAAGACACCGGTGAGCGCTTCCCATGGTGGCAAATGTCTTTTGGGAAGAAGGAGCCAGACATGTTTTGCTTGCTTTGACTGTTTCTTTGAAGGAAGGAGGGAGGGAAGGGGGGAGGAAAGAAGGGTAGGAGGGAGAAAACCAGTTTCCCTGAGTGTGTTTCTATCACACAAGACTGCAGGTGCCTAGAATGTCGTCCTCTGAGAAGCCTGTGTACCTCTGTGGGGGCGGGGGTGGGGGGCAGTACGGGTGGGGCTGACTGCCCCTGGGCTACTGCCCTCTGGTGCCACTCCCCCACGAGGGCCACCAGATGGCTCCAAACCACAGCAAATCACATCCCAGCCTGGAGCCCAGCTGGCTTCCTGCTGGCTGCTCCCTGCTCCCTGCTCCCCCCACCCCTACACTGTGTATAGCCTGGGGCTCTTCCTTCCCTCAGATTCCTGCTCTTCACTCTGCATTCCTGGGCGTTAACTGCCCAGCTCACTCCTCCTCATCTGCAGCCCTTGCTGCCATCACGGACACCCTGGCGCCTCATTTATCCATCCATCCACCCATCCATCCACCCATCCATCCACCCATCCATCCACCCACCCATCCATCCATCTATCCATCCATCCATCCATCCATCCATCCATCCATCCATCCACCCACCCATCCATCCATCCACCCATCCATCCACCCATCCATCCATCCATCCATCCATCCATCCATCCATCCATCCATCCATCCATCCATCCATCCATCCATCCATCCATCCATCCATCCATCCATCCATCCATCCATCCATCCATCCATCCATCCATCCATCCATCCATCCATCCATCCATCCATCCATCCATCCATCCATCCATCCATCCATCCATCCATCCATCCATCCATCCATCCATCCATCCATCCATCCATCCATCCATCCATCCATCCATCCATCCATCCATCCATCCATCCATCCATCCATCCATCCATCCATCCATCCATCCATCCATCCATCCATCCATCCATCCATCCATCCATCCATCCATCCATCCATCCATCCATCCATCCATCCATCCATCCATCCATCCATCCATCCATCCATCCATCCATCCATCCATCCATCCATCCATCCATCCATCCATCCATCCATCCATCCATCCATCCATCCATCCATCCATCCATCCATCCATCCATCCATCCATCCATCCATCCATCCATCCATCCATCCATCCATCCATCCATCCATCCATCCATCCATCCATCCATCCATCCATCCATCCATCCATCCATCCATCCATCCATCCATCCATCCATCCATCCATCCATCCATCCATCCATCCATCCATCCATCCATCCATCCATCCATCCATCCATCCATCCATCCATCCATCCATCCATCCATCCATCCATCCATCCATCCATCCATCCATCCATCCATCCATCCATCCATCCATCCATCCATCCATCCATCCATCCATCCATCCATCCATCCATCCATCCATCCATCCACCCATCCATCCATATATCCATCCATCCATCCACCCATCCATCCATCCATCCACCCATCCACCCATCCACCCATCCATCCATCCATCCATTATCCGTCCACTCAAGCCAGTACTGTCTTCTAAAGAATACCTTGTTTTGATCAAGAGCTTCACCTCTGAGGGGGGATAGCCTGGGTTTGAACCCCAGTACTATCACTTCCCTCTCTGTGCCTCAGTTTACTCATCGGTAAAATAGGGGAAAACCATGACACTCTCTGTCATATAAGGGTTTTGTGTGGATTAAATGCTGGGATCCTTGCAGAGAGTTCAAGACATAGTGTCAAGTCCACTGCAAGCACTTGTGTATGCAGACCTCCTCCTCTCCTCCCTTCTTCCTTCTCCTCCTTCTTCTCCCCTCCTCCTTCTCCCCTCCTCCCCCCTCCCCCCTCCTCTTCTTGTCTTTCTCCTCCCTTCCTTCTCCTCCCCTTCTTCCCTCTCCCTCCTTCCCTCCTCCTCCCCTCTTCCCCCTCCTCCTCCTTCTCCTCCCCTCCTCCTCCCCCTCCCTCTTCTCCCCTCCTCCCCTCCTCCTCTTCCTCCCCTCTCCCTCCCCTCCCCCCCTCACCATTGTTGTCTAGCAGCAGGTGCATCACTATGTTTTAGCTTGGCTGCTACTCTGTTTTAATAGTTCCATGTTAAACGCTAACATGGGCCTCGTACTATTCGTTAATTACAAAGGCAGTTGAGCCAGGGGTTAGTCAGGCTGGTGGCTGAGCCCGCCGCCTGCACTACCTCAGGAATCCTTACAGCGGCCTGGTGCAGGAGGTATTAATGTCCCCATTTTACAGATGGTCAAACCGAGGTTCTGAAATTTGCTCCAAGTTACAAAGCTAGTTAGGCTCTGGGGCCAGAATTAAAACCCAGAGATTCTGACGCTAAAACCCATTTTATAATCTACTGTATTATGCATTTTGACAACCATGCAGTTGTTTTGTTTTGTTTTAAAACTTTCACAGAATGCCATCAGACTGATCTGACTGATGTCTCCCCACCCCCACTGTCAGTGCCTTTGACCAAGGACCCAGTGGCTCCCACCTAGAAGACTGTACAGCTTCCTCAGGCTCCCTGAGGTCCCCTCGCCCCATCTTTTGGCTCCTCCAGTCATTCTCACGGCAGCCACAGAAATTTTAGCACAGATCTGGTCAGGTCACCCCCCTTGCTTAAAACCTTCAATGGCTCCCCATTGCCCTCAGCTCACTTGGCCTGTGAGAGGCTCAGGGATTCCTGGGAGCTAATGTTTATTCCTGGAAAACCAGCGCGATGAATGGCCCCTTTTCTCAGCGGAGGAAGCTGGCCTGGGTGGATTTAGGGCAGAGGGCAGGGCTGGGGAGCGCTGGCCAGGGCCCATTTTCTGTATCAGCTCCAGCCCCAGGGGATCATTTGCTGGCACTCGAGCCTAGCAGCTCCATCACTTGTGTGGTTTCCGGGTGGGGAGCATCCAGAAGGGGGACTGGGGTACGTCAGGGTTGGGGGCAGAGGCCAGAGAGCTAGGCGAGGAGACTGAAGGAGAAGGCAGTTTGCCTGCGGGGAGGAGGGGAGGAGGGGAGGAGGGGCAGAGGAGGTCAAGCAGGGCGTGGGTGCGCCGCTGTGGCTGTGTGTGTGAGCCTTGCTTTAGGCTCTTGCTGGACTCCTCATGACCGGTTCTTAGAGCTGAGCTCAAAGAGCTACGAGGGCCGCTTCCAGCGCTCTGGTCCCAGAGCCGAAGGGTCCAGGGACAGGGACGCAGGCACTGAGGGCCCCGCCCGCCCTGAGCCCGTCCTACCTTGTTGTTCATCATCTTTCGGAGCAAAGACTCCATTTTCTTGTGGAAGAGTTTGATCAGCCACCTGGAGATTGACATGTGCGGACATGCATGAGGCTTCCAAAGGGTCCCTGGGCTGCGTTTGGGAGGCTGCCTCCTCTGGGAACCCTTCCTCCCTCCTTCAAATGGCCTAGGCACCCTTGTTCCGGGGCTTTAACTGTGCACACCCCCATTAGATACTTGGCCCTCTGGGGACAGTGACTTGTTTATGGGTTTATTGCCTCAATGGGTGCACAGCTGGGCCCCCACCCTGCCTCAGCCTCTTTCATCGCGACTGCTCTCCCTCTTGGCACTCCAGCCACACTACCCTGCAGTATCCTCTTGTGTTCTGTGCTGCCTCCCACCACAGGGCCTTTGCACATGCTGTTCCTGCTATTTAAAACAGCCCCTGTCCCCCACATCCACCCAACTAACTCCTACTTATTCTTTTCATTTCAATTCAAACGGCATTTCATCAAGGAAGGAGCAGCCAGGCCCCAGACAGGGTCAGAACCTCCTGTTCTATGTGCTTATAGCACTTCGTACCTCTTTGCCCTGTTCTTGTGTTCCTTTGTAGTTCTTTGTGAGCAATTCATTAATGCAATGATTTGATTAGTGTCTATCTTCTCCACTGGGTAGGAAGCTTTAAGAGAGCAGGGACTGTGTGGCCAAGACTCTGGGGCTGGATAGCCGTGGGCTGAATCCCTCTTCAACACTCACTAGGTATGAAAACTTAGGATATTTCCTATCCTCTCTCTGCCTTGGTTTTCCTCTCTGAAAAATGGGGGTAATAATAGACGAACTTCATTGTGTGGCTCGACTGGGACAATTCACAAACTTAAAAGCAGGCGTGGCACACAGTCAAGTTAGCTGACATCCCCCTGATGTTAGCTATTGCTAAGTTTTCATTGGCCACTGCTGTCTCCTGAGCACAGGCAGATTCTTAGCTGACATTTGTTGAATGGAGATGAATCAACGCCTAGAGGTCTGCGGTGAGGATGGTATAATTCAACGCACACCAAAGGGTTAGTTAGCCAGAGCCTGGGGCATAGTAAGTGCTCAGGAAAGTCTGTTGGATGAATGTTCGAGGAACAGGTGGCTCCTTGAGGCAGGGGCGGTCTCTGCTCTGTCTGCGGACCCTGCCCCTCCCCTGCACCTCGGAACAAGGCCCGGCAAGAGGTGGCACCTGGGACATTTACTGAGTACAGGACAGTGCTCCTTAAGCTCTCTCCTCCCGCTGCAGCCCCAGGAGAGCATACCCCAGCCTGCTGCCTGAGACGTGCACACGGACGCTGTCGATGTGGTTACTGCAGCTGGAGCAGGTGACGGTGCAGCGGCCCGAGGTGGGGTCGAAGCCCGGCTTCAGAACCGCCGAGATGGAGACGCCCTCCACGCTCAGGTCAAAGTTGCCGCTGGTTTTGCTGAAGGGAAACACAGATGAAAGAATTATAGCAAGCTTTTTCTTCCCTGCTGCCATTCAAACTTCCGAGCCTGGGCCGGAACGTAGGGGTTGCTACTTGAGATGGAATTCAGAGAGGGGAGGCAGCCTGCCCAAGGTCACACAGCACAGAGTGTGGGTCCATGTCTGCCCGGCAGGGCGCCGCTCTTACCCCTTGCCTCTGCCCTTGCTGAGTGACGTTAGGTATGTTTCTTGACTGCTCTGATTTCCAGTTTCCCCACCCAGACTCTTGATCAGAAGTTCAATGCTGGCTTTGCCCCTAAAAAGCTGCGTGTTTGGAGACTTTCATTAATGAGTGTCCTCATTCATTAAATGGCGTCAATAGGTCCTCCTTCAGGGATGAGACGAGTTTTGGATAAGACAGTGGACGCGAATGTATTTTGTCAATTCTCCTTTAACATGATAAAGTACTGTTATCTTTTGTGCCGCCAGTGAGTGAAATGATAAGTGCAAAAGAGCCCATGTGAGGAACTAAGCGATTTTTATTGTGGGGGAGGGACAGGAAGCCGGACTCATGTCCCTCTCCCCAAAGTATCTTCTCCTTGATCCCCCTGGATTCCCCACAAACAAGTCGCAGAAGTGATTGGTTATTCTGAGCCACGACCACTAGAGGGCAGGCTCACCGTGGTGAGAACCCAGTATTTCAAATCAGAGTTGTAGTTTGGATGATTTGACCCAATTTTTCACCACTTTGCCTATCTCAGGGCACGGGGGTGGGGGGAGGTGTATGCATTTCCAGGCTCTTGACTCTTGACTTTGGGCTTGGCCACGTGACTTACTCTGGCCAATGGCATATGAGTAGAAGTGACCACAGGCCAATTCTGAGTCTAGGCCTGAAGGGGACCTGGATGTTTCTGGTTGCCCTTTGTGCACATCTGCCACCACCAGGGATGTGCTCTGAGTAGCCCACTGGGCTGAGGAGGAGGATGAAGAGATATATGTGGAGCAGAGCTGCCTCAGCTGAGCCCAACCCAGATCAGCTGAACCCCAGCTAACACATAGATACATAGTGATAATATATGACTACTGTTTTCAGCAGCTGGGTTGCCGTGTTTTGTTACACAGCCATAGCTCACTGATAAAGGGGTAAATTAAGGGTACCCCCTTAGTCTTCCATCCTACGCTTCATGTACCAACTCAATCTTGTCAACATCTTGCATTTTGATGCGGACATAATGCTCGGCTATTAACCAAGGGCTATGCTGAATTTTCACACATGAAAAACTCCCCCCAGGAACCCCATGGGCACAAGCGGTGATGGGTAAGGCAGAAGTTGAGCATTCCTGAGATCCTGGCCGTCACCCCTTCCCAGTATCACCCAGAGCTCACCCACACACTCAGTCAATACCAAGGTTGGAAACGCACATGAAATTCTTTCGCGCCTTCCATTTTCCACTGATCATGACATTGGCATTTCTGATGGCGAGATTGAGGCCCTCACTGGGCACTAGTTTCATCTGGGAGCTGGGAAGCTGGAATCCACGGATAGCCATGCTGTGAAGAAGAAAGCCTCAGTTAACCTCCTGGGGGGCCACACAAGGATTCAGTTAATGTTCATGCAGACTCACTCCCACTCCCAGCCCTTCACCACATCCATTGAGGAAGAACCCGGAAACTATGAGAGCAGCTTTGGGAACTCTGTGGGCATGGGGCAGAGTGGCTAGGCTTTAATGTCAGACAAATCTGCCTTTGAATCCTGTTCTTCACTGTTCTTCAGTGACCCTGAGCCTGACACTTAGTCATCCTGAGCCTCAGTGTTCTCATTTGTAACATGGGCACAATCATCTCCATCTTGCAGGAAGTGCAATGATTGAGGATGACAAATGGAGTTTCACCTGACTGCAGGTCTGTGGAAGGTGGAACGCGTTTTTCTTGGTTCACTGTCATAGCCGAGTCTGTGGCATCAGACACACAGTAGGTGCTCAAAACTATTTGTTGGGTGAATAGGTGTATAAAATTCTGGAGAGGACATTTATGGGTTTTCTGCTCGGCACCCACACCCCCTTGTTGTGGTAACAGAACTGCCTTTCTCCTCTGGGGGCCACCCCTCCACTCATCCCCTCCATGTCACTGCAAAGAAAGTTGACCTTCCATGTTCACGGGGGGCAGGAGGGCTTTCGACCTGGGCATAAGCTGGTTAGAGAGGGCATCCCCTGGCCACAGGGATGGTTCGGGGATGTGTATATAACCTAAGATGGGACAGAGTGAATCTTAGGGCTTTTGCTTGAGATTCAAGGGAAAAGTGCTCTCCTTCCACAGGATTCAGAGGGCGGAGGGGGTGTCGGTCGCCATCTTGCATCTTTGAGGGGACACCCTGCCTGAGAACTGGGCCTCCTCAAGGGAAGCGGTGCTGAGAAGTGGCAAGGAGAAAGCAGGGTCCAATGTCATTAGGGGATACCTCAAGCTGAACCTGAAGCCACAGACTACTCCAGAAATTCTGGTGTGGGCCATTTTAGATTGGGCTGTCTGTCCTTGAACCCCCCATCCCCAAATCCTACTTGCTATATGGGCCTGGCACTGAGTTTTGGGGTTCATGACACATCCCCCTTACCTCGGGAGTCATGGTGAGTGCCTTCTGTGGCCTCCTCTACACTCAGCTTGGAGGGTTATATCCCCCTGGCGTGGGCCAACATTAGTTTGGGAATCTTAACCTCTCTGAGTTTAGGAGTTTGGGGCTCTGTGATTCTTGGTCTTGGTGGCTCCAGGACACTATAAGTCTTGTACGCTGAGGGTTGAGCTCGACAGGCCTCACCTATAGAAGCTATAGTGCCCTTTCCCGAGGTGCTTGATCTTGAAGGTCCCTGAGAATGTGGGGATCGTGATTTTCTCCAGCTCCTTCCGCAGCACGACCATTCCTTGCTGGCAGGCTGAGGGGTGAGGAAAGGGGTAACGGTCAGAGGCACAGTCTGCCCCATTCATATCAGGGGTCAGTTGGCGTTTTCTGTAAAGGGTCGGAGAGTAAATATTTTTGGCTCACACAGTCTCTGGTCTGCTGTGATCGCACGGAAGCAGCCAGAGACGATAAGTAAATGAATGGGTGTGGGTGTGTTCCAACAAACCTTTAAAACTTTATTTTTGGACACTGAAATTTGAATTTCATATAATTTTCACATATTATTCTCTTGATTTTTTTCAATCATTTAAAAATGTAAAATGTAAAAGCCATTGTTTGTTCACAGGCCATACAAAAGCATGTGGCCAGCCAAATGAGATCTGAGATGGTCATTTGCCAATCCCTGGTCTAAAATATGAACTAAGGGGCGTCTGGATGGCTCGGTCAGATCATGGTCTTGCGGTTCATGGGTTCGAGCCTGGTGTGGGGCTCTGTGCTGACAGCCCGGAGCCTGCTTTGGATTCAGTGTCTCCCTTTCTCTCTGCCCTTCCGCACTTACACTCTGTCATTCACTCTCTCTCAAACATAGTAAACATTAAAAAAAATTGTTAATAAAATAAAATATCACCCTAAACACCCAGTCATGCATTCTGTGAGTATTCGTGGAACACCTAGTCTGGGCCTCGCTCTGCGCTGTGTCCTCACAGACACTTCACCTCTCTAAACTTTGGCCTCTCTCTCCACAGGACCTTTGCTTGTGCCATTTCTGCTGACTAGGAAACCCTCCCCTCCCACCTTCACCCGGTCAGCTTCTAATCCGCTCCACCGTCCCTTCCTCCGGGAACCTTCTCTGACCCAGCAGATGAAAGCAACCCTCCTTGCTATGATTCTCATGATGCCTCCGGCATCCCCCCAGGAGCCCCGTGTCTGTTTGAAATTGTACATCTATTCACGTGACTGTGGTTACCATCTCTCCCACCTGCCCCGGGGAGCCCTCCAAGGCTTATCCCGGAGACATCCGTTTTGTTTATGAATGTGGCTCCTCCGTGTACCGCAGGGATTGCCACTTACGATTAGGAGGCACTTAATACCCATTGAGTGAACAAATGGACGAATGCCCAATGTCCGGAATCCTGTCATCAGTTATGTGGCCGACGGCATCCAAGAACCAGTTGAGAGGCCAACATGTTACTTGAGAAGGAGGAAGTAAGAAATGGGATCGCAGGCTTTGTGTTTTCCAACAGCCGGTTGGAAATGACAACCCTCTCCCGCCGTTTATCAAGCCCGCATCCTGTGCCAGGCACTATTCTGCGCTCTGTTCACGTATCCAGCTACTGAATCTGAAAACCCTGGGGAGGAAGTCCTGGTACCGCCCCCGCCCCCCAGTTCACAGATGAGGAAGAGGAAATTCGGGGACTGTGGCCACACAGCTGACAAGTGATGGGTCAGGATTTGAATCTGCACTGGGCAGGGCCTTGAGGGATCTCAAATGCCATGCTAAAGGGTCAGGACATCTTCTGAAGGCACTCACTCTGGCTGCCACATGGGGAAACTGAGTCTGCTGTGACAGAACATGAAGACTTCTGGGCTTAAAGCCTGAGCCCAGGCCTCTGCTCCCAGGAAGCCTTCAGGGCCACCCCATACTCTGGTCTCCTAGCTCACAGGGAGTCCTCTGCCTGCCCCTGGGATTCAGAGATGTCCTGCCTGGGCTAAAGAAGGAATTCAGGGATGGGGTGCCAGGGGCCCCTGAGTTCTGTCCCCATTTTCAGTGGCACACCAGCCCATGAGCTCCGCCTTCTCCTTGGTCTGACTTCTCTGCGGCTGGGTCTCCCACGGCCCTCCGCAGTTCACCTCTCTGCCGCTGGGGGCAGCATCGAGCAGCCCCACGCGGGGAGGGTGGGGGGCCTCAGCCGAGACTGGAGGGGAGATCCAGACCGCCCACTTCCCTAGTCCCTTCTCCAAGCTTCAGTCTGCTCATCTGTAAATGCTGCTAGTGACGGCCTGTCCCACCCAAGGTTGAAATAAAGATGAAACGCGGGGCCCCTGGGTGGCACAGTCGGTTAAGCGTCCAACTTCGGCTCAGGTCATGATCTCATGGTTCGTGGGTTCGAGCCCCGCGTCGGGCTCTGTGCCGACAGCTCAGAGCCTGGAGCCTGTTTCAGATTCTGTGTCACCCTCTCTCCCTGACTCTCCCCTGCTCACGCTGTCTCTCTCTCTCAGAAATAAATAAAACATTAAAAAAGAAGAAGAAGAAGAAGAAATAAAGATGAAACGAGATGGAGCGTGTAAAGCGCCTGGCACAGAGTGGAGCAGAGGGGCTGTTTTCTGCCACTTTTTCCCCGATGTAGGCCCGGACGAGTAGCCTGGGAGGACCTTCTCTGGGACATCCAGATGGGTAATGTGCACAGGGTGGCTGCCAAGCCCCTGCCCTGGGAGAGACCGTAAAGAAGGGCCCTCCTCCCCCCATCCCTGCCCCTGAGCCTGGCTCTCCTCCCTGGCTCTGCCCACGCTGAAGATCGGGCCAGGAATCTCAAGGCCAATGACAGGACTGAGAATCAGCTTTGGAGGGAAGAGAAGGGCTCCGAAGCCTGAGTTGGCGGCTGTGTAGAGAGGGAGGGGACCGTGAGGACCCTCAGGGGCCTCAGCACTGGACGTGGGTCCTCCAAACCAACACTCCAATCCCAACATTGCCACCTTGCATCTCTGTGACCTTGAGCCACTCACCTTGCCTCGGCTTCTGCATACATATGACAAGGGTTAAAGGCCCTCCTTTGAGGGGCTGTGAGCAGGCCATGCACTGGAGTTCAAGGGCTGCACACAGGAGGTACTCAATAAGTGCTTTTCAGGGGCAGGAGAGGAGGGAAGGAAGGCATCTGATTACCGTAGTCCAGGCCTTTCTGGGTGATCCTGGCCACAACGCCGGGGTTCGTGGTCGCGATCACAGCCGTGCCCAGGGTGGCCAGCACCACCAGGGTCGCCCGCGTCAATGCTTTGCCAGCCTCCCTGGCCATGTTCTGTCCTCCAGAGCCGCCAAACCTCGAGACCTTGGAGGGGAGCCAGGGATCTCTAAAGGATCTGGCTGGGGAGATGCAAACCAGTAGGATGTAGAAAGGAGGAAGGAACCTGCACAGGGGCGGGAGAGGGGAGGCCACAGCCCAGAGGTGGCCAGAAGTGGGGCCTGAGAACTGGGGGTGGTGGTGAGGGGGGCATGGTGAGTGTGTGTGTGTGTGTGTATGTGTGTACTGTGTGTGTGTATCAGAGGATGCGACTTTTGGCTCTGGGTGGGGGAATCATCCCCTCCATAAGTGGCCCTATCCCCTTCTCCGAATCCCCGCCCAAATCCCTCTGCCTACGAAACTTCTTGAAGCTGTGGGGTGGGTACATCAGGATTCAGTACATTTTCCTCCCCTCCCCATCTTTTTTTTTTTTTTTTTAATTTCTAGGAGAGAGAGAGACAGCGCGAGCAGGGGAGGGTCAGAGAGAGAGGGAGACACAGACTTTGAAACAGGCTCCAGGCTCTGAGCTGGCAGTCAGCACAGAGCCCGACGCGGGGCACGAACTGCGAGATCATGACCTAAGTGAAAGTTGGACGCTTAACCGACTGAGCCACCCAGGTGCCCCGTCCCCTCCCCATCTTTTGAGGAATAATGGTCACACAAAATTGTATACATTTAAAGTACACAACGTGATGATTTGATATATGTGTATACATTGTGGTATGATTGCCATAACCAAGCGAATTTATACTTCCATCACCGGACACAGCTCTCATTTCTGTGTGTGTGTTTGGGGGGAGACGCTTAAATCTACTGGCTTAGCAAATTCCAAGGGCACAATATAGTATTCTTAACTATACTTCCGTGCTGTATGTTAGATCCCCAGAACTTAATCACTTTATAACTGGAAGCTACATTTTTCTCTCTGCTTTTAGTATCCTTGATATTTCCCATAGTAAAACAGTTTTAAAAAGCAGACTCTTCAGCATTTTCTTGTCCTAAGAGGCAGCGGTGGTAATCATTAAATGCTTGAATCTTGGAGTCCAGTATCTTAGCTGTGGTTTTAAGTCTGAGCCCTGGCACTCTCTGGTGCTTGACCTTGGTCAAGCCCCTTAACCCCTCTGAAAGTCAATTTCCTCCTCTGTAAAGTGGGGATAATCAGAACACCCTCGCTCCTTGGATTATTGTGAAGTCAGAAAGGGCTTTTAACCACAAAAGCACTTAGCACCATGCCCTCGCATAATAAGCACAGAAATGGTAGCTATTAACATCTCTCTCTGACTTTATTATTTATTTATTTATTTTAAAATTTTTTATAGTTTATTTTTGAGACAGAGACAGAGCCTGAGCGGGGGAGGGACAGAGAGAGAGGGAGACACAGAATCCGAAGCAGACTCCAGGCTCTGAGCTGTCAGCACAGAACCTGACGCGGGCTCAAACCCATGAACCACGAGATCATGACCTGAGCCGAAGTCGGATGCTTAACCGACTGAGCCACCCAGGTGCTCCCGTCTCTCTGACTTTAAAAGTAAGCCATGTTCACTGGCCAAAATTTGAGCAAGAACTAAGAGAAGAAAAATCGCATGCAATCCACTAGACACACCGAGTGCAAGTGAGTTTTTAGAGTATCCCTTCCGTGTGTGTTTTTTTAACAAAGAAAAATGGGATCACACCGGTCAGTTTTGTAAAGTTCCCTTTTCTCAATAAACAGGGTGTAGTGAACGTTCTTCCCTGGCACTAAACCACTTGTACACACGCCACGTGTCATTGCTCCCACGCCCTGCAGTGTCCTGCTCCAAGCTCCTTTCTGCTCCTTCTTCACCCCTTCCTTGGGCAGATGTGGGACCTACAGCTGGGACAGGGGACAGTCACACAGCTAGCTGCTGGCAGAGCTGGGGCTCAAAAGCAGACTGCCAGGCGCATCCCACACCGGCCTGAGTCCTTGAGCACCTGTGGGGGGTGGGGAGGCGGGGGAGGTGTAGACACTCCCCACCTCCCGCACCCCAGCTTTCCAGACAGGTCTCTGCCTTCTTTGCCCCTGCCCCTCCCTTTGCCGCAGCCTCAGGCCCTGGGTGGGAGGGAACCCCACCAGGCAGCCGTTCAGTCTCCATGGTGATGAGAGGAGGGGCGGGGCTGCTGAGGGGGAGGCCAGCTTCTCTCCTGCTGGGTCCCCATCAGCCCCCTGGTGCCCCATCTTCTCGACTTTAATTTTATGAAAGTCTAATGACGCCCGCTGAGAGGGAGGATGTGAGACCTGAGTATTTTTTATTTTTTCGTTTTGTTTTGTTTTTCCTTCTCTTTGCTTGGTGCTAAAAGGGTCTCCCTTCCCGCCCCCATCCACAGCAAGAACCCTTCTGGCTTGCTTAAGAACAAAAACGGTCGCCACCACTGGCATCTACTATGTGCCAGATGCTTTACGTATATTATCTCCAGGCCTGAAACCAACCCTCGATGGAGGGATGAGAGGAAGCGTGATGAGTCTCCATTTTGGAGCCGAGGAAACAGAGCGATTAGGTCCCTGTCAAGGTCACACCGCCTTTCATGGGGAGAAGACTTCTTCCCCTTACTTGGGGCCGTTGCCAGGAGGACTCATCACCCTGGGCCCTCAGCCTGGCCATGCCTTCTTGGGCCCCCGGAGCCAGAGATCTCTAAGCAGCAGCTGAGACACATAGATTGATGATTGGTCAAAAACTTCGAGTTAAAAAAAAACCAAACATATAGATGTGGACACTTGCAGCTCTAACTGCCCCAAATTCCCGAGTCCCCTGGGCCCAGGCAGATGTTGCATCTGTGAGGGTGTCAGACAGGAAGGGAGCATCATGATGGAATTCATGTGACTGTGACTTACATTGCCACAAAAAACGGAATCTTAAAACCACTGGCAACTGTCTGCACAACCACCCCCTCCCACCAGCTCCCCCCGCCCCCGCCATGGCTCATGCCCAGCCGAATCCAGAGGAGCCTCCTTTTCAGTGCTGCCACTGGCCACGGAGGTACCTCACTGCTTCACATCTGACTCCATACCGAGTGACAGAAATCCCCAATTGACATTGGCTTCCGCCATAAGCACATTATCTCAGAAAGGTCCAAAGAGAGGGCAGTTCAAGGTTATGGCTGATTCCGCAGCCCGCAGACATTTTCTGTCTTTCCACCACTCGGCTCTGGTACCTAGTGTCTCAGATCTACCTTCACCCTGGCTTCTTTCACGGCTGTAGGAGGGCTGCAGCAGCGCCAGCCGTTGCAGCTAAGCGAGCTTCTCCCAACGTCTCCTTTTCCTCTGTGCCCCTTCCTCTTCTTCCTCCTCTTTCTTGGGTCTTTTTCTTATTATTGTAAAATATTCCAAACATACAGAAAAGAATAAACTACCTAAGTTTATAAAATCTTCACCTTATGCCATATTTACTTCCCATAGTTTCTTCCAGATTGATGAATTTTAATACATATGTAGCTGCCATATGTAAGGATTAGAATTTTTCTATCATCCTTTCAAACTCTCTCCTACTGTCTCAACTCAACATCGCTGAAAGCATAAGGAAAATACATGACCGCTACAGGATTTCCAGGAGTTCGTTAATTCAGGGGCTGGTTTTGTCCATCTTCTACTCTGTGGCTGGTCCTTAGGAAGCTGACTTTTCCCAGAGAAAGTGTATTGGGCTTGGAGGTGGACCTGGGTCCAGAGTTCCAGCCAGGCTGCCCCACTCTCTCTGATCAGAATCCCTTCTGAAAGTCAGGTTCCTTACTGAAAGATGGACAAACAGTGCCAGTCGTGTGGTGTGTTCTAAGGACTGAGATAATGCGTGACTCAATTTCCACGGAGAAGGTGCTGAGTACATAGTTAAAAAAAAAGTTTTTTAATCTTTATTTATTTTTGAGGGAGAGAGAGAGAGAGAGAGACAGAGTGTAAGCAAAGGAGGGGCAGAGAGAGAGGGAGACAGAAAATCCAAAGCAGGCTCCGGGCTCCGAGCTGTCAGCACAGAGCCTGAACCAAGGCTCAAGGTCCTGGACCTTGAGCTGAAATCAGATGCTTAACCGGCTGAGCCACCCAGGCGCCCCTCAGTACATAGTCTTTTTTTTTAATTAATTTTTTTTTTTTAAATTTCTGAGACAGAGACAGTGTGAGCTGGGGAGGGTCAGAGAGAGAGGGAGACACAGAATCTGAAACAGGCTCCAGGCTCTGAGCTGGCTGTCAGCACAGAGCCTGACACGGGGCTTGAACCCACGAACCATGAGATCATGACCTGAGCCGAAGTTGGACACTTAACTGACTGAGCCACCCAGGTGCTCCTCAGTACATAGTCTTAATTCAGCCTTCATCACTAGCTGGCTGGAGAGTTCTGGAACCCCCAGGGAAACGTGTCAGGAGCACTACAGATTGATCTTTCTGTCCTCTGGCTTTGGATTTGGGCTGGATAAGTGCAAGAGAGAGGGGCCCGTGGCTCACATCGCCTCTGGGAGCCCACCACTCGTGGCGCCGGGAGCAGTGGTCGCTTCCCACGCAGCTGAGCGGTCGAGAGCGTGGGCCGGGACCCTTACAGACCTGGGCCCAAAACCCAGCTCACCACCTGCTTGCTGTGTGAGTTTAAGCTGGTAGCCTAACCTTGCTGAACCTCAGGTGCCTCTGTGGTCCCCACTTTATCCTCAAGCAAAAGTCCTGCATGGAGATCTGACCCCAAGGTGCACTATCTCAAAGGCAATCGGACACTGCAGCGGGTGGATGGCCCCTTGAGAGGGTGTCTCCCCGACCTTGTTATGCTAAGAAAGTGTCTCCTTCGGAGCCTCTGTCTCATAAATGGGCCCTTTGGGGCACCCTGGTCGGGGAGGTGGGGGCAGATCTTCCTTATGGTATTATTATTATTGCTGCCACCGTTGTTGATGTTGTTGTAATCGCTGCAGGCCCAGAGTAGATCACAAGATATATTTAATGGTGAACAAATGAAAGAAGGGTCAGAACCCAGAACATGAATTCCAAATGGTAAGTGTTTGGAGCCTGAGAAGGTCAAGCGCAGCCTGGCCTGATGATCCCCGAAGGCTTCCAGAAGGAGGCAACCTTGGCTCTGGAGTGGG